AACGTAGATGGCGTAAAACGGGATGAAGACCCAGAGCATGTTGAAGAAGACGAGGTACACCCAGAGATACATGAAGTTGCTGGTATCGAGGTTGATGTTTCCGGTGAGCCACTCGGGGCAGAAGGTCATGAAGCCTGCGAGGTTGTGTCAGCGGTATCCCGACGATGTCTACTGTTGGGGCGATCTCACCTCCGTATAGCTCTGCCGTCGCGATGATGATCATCCAGATGTTGACCTTCGGGTCACGCTTGGCGATGCAGTAGCAAATCCAGCAGGCCAACGGGCCAGCGCCGAAGACAGTCAGCAGCTCGAGAGAAATCACACCCTGTACCACGCCCACGTTAGCAAAGAACTCTTCTGCTCCTCGTTGTGGGTAGACGCACCAAGTCCGCACCAGCCCATCTCTTGTCAGCCCTGGCGTAGACCATCCAAAGCTGCGCAAAGGGGTTGTCACCGCCTGCCTGGGCGCCATAGATGCGGTCCGAGTATCCGAGATAGTTGGCCGGGGTTGGGTGGTAACCAGAGAGATCGGCGTCGGGGATGTCGGCGAGGGGCGTGTAGGAGAAGAAGCAATGGTAGAGGAAGCTGCCCTCGAGGAAGAAGTGGATCAAGGCATCAAAGGCGTGCCAGATGAAGAGGACGCGATAGCTCGTTGATGTGGTGGGGTGGAGGACGCGGCGGGAGAGGGCGACGGCAACGGAGAGGAGGACGACGGTCGCGCCTAGGGAGACGAGCGTCGTCTGGTCAAACAGATCAGGCGGAAGACTGGATGCGGTGTTGGACATGCTGGCCATTTCTGTTACGGACGCAATTGAGACCTTGGAAGAGGATTAGGGAGTGTTGAGGTGGCATGCGGAGATGTGTTTGCTGGTCTGGCAATCTGGTGTGACTACGGAAGGTGTGGAACTTCGCGACGTTCAGCTTAATGATCCGTGCGCGGGAGTGAGCACCCGGTGTGGAGAAAGCTTCAAGCTGTCAGTTCCTTGGTTGGCGGGGATGCAGGCACCCACAGGGATCAACGTTTTAAGTTTCTTATCATCACAATGATATCAAATCTCTTTCAAAGGCTGCGAAAGACTGTGATGTGAGTTATTCGAATTGCAAATGCTCGAAATGTGCTCATATCAATTGTCACAAAAACAGTGCGAGTCAAAGATATTTAGCAATGTAGTGGCATTAGGACTATGCTAGGTGTAAAGAAAACCCATCCCCAGGTGTCATTGCCTCATCGCTTGCGATTCCTATTCCTTTCCCAAACGCCAGATCCTTTGATATCCTCCCGCAGTATTTAGGGGTATCATCGAGGGAGGAGCGATTTAGTGCTTGGCGGACTCCTTGTGAACGTCGGCCTTGGCCTCGTGGGAAGACTCGTCGAGCTTGTCACCGACGGCATCCTTGGCGGCGGAGGCACTGTGAAGTGGAATGTTAGTGATGGTCAGAAGGTTAATGATTGAAGATGGAAGCTTACCGGCTGGTGAGGGAAGCGTCGGAGTCCTTGGCGACCTGCTTGTTGGTCTCCTTGGAGGCGGTGGCACCGGCCTGCTGGACAGACTCGGAGACGTAGTTGGCGGCGTTCTTGATGGTATCCATTGTGATGGTTGGGATTGGGTTGGTTTGGAAGTGTTGTGAAGTTGTTTGATTGAGTTGATTGTTTGTTGTGTGATGAGGAGAGAAGAAAGCTGGGAGAGGTAGTGGGATGGAGAGGTTTATATAACAAGTTGGAGGGCCGGTTTGACACCTCGAGGGAAGGAAGCCACCACGCTTCCTGCCGTATCGTGGCCCATTCTTGCCTTCGTGCAGTAAGAAAGGAGGAAGGTACGGTACTTGCCCCGCCAGCCTCAACTTCCAGGTTCCCTGAGTTCAGACAGACTGAAGTCAGAAAGGAAGGTACATCACGTCTACCTCGGGCAAGGTGTTGGAATGCCATGCCTTCAGGTATCTGTCAAGAGTCGGGATGCCCCTCTGCCCCTCCCCCTCTTCATTCCTTCCGTTTGCTCGTGCCAACTCGTGCATGTCTCTCCCGGCGCGTGTATTGCCTCCCGGGCTTGCTCAAGTGTGGCTTTAGCGCAGTTTCACACCATCTGGGCAAGGACGCTCAGGGTCTATCATGTGAACTGAAGAAATGGCGTCATAGACTACGATCTTGCCTCGTCCCAGGGTGCTCACAATTTTGGCGGTTTGCAGTCAGATTCCGATTGCGTGGGAAACCGCCCCGGGAGCCAACGGGAAGTGCCATGTCAACTTTAGAACGCCCGAAAATGGCCCCATGCGGAGCTTCTATTCGTTTGGGTGCAAGTCGCACCAGCCACGGTACAGTGTATGGAGCTCCTGAAGCTACCTGCATCTGGAGCTGCAGAGCTCCTCCTGTCTGCGTTTGGTCTCTGTCTGGTGGAAGCTGTATATGCCGCCAAGATGACGTCACGAGCACCTTTGCAGACAGGCACGGACGATACGCGGTGCTAGGAAGGCGCTAACGTCATAGTGTCCCCGCGTCGACTGAGGCTGTGCGGCGGGGTTATCTTCTTACCTCTGGTACGGATACTCCGTACCAATAATCCACCGGGCAGTCGCGTTTGCGGTGGACATGCCACATGAAAAGATCACTGTCGCGTAATGATGTCCGGCAAAATACGTCAGCCTGTCGATTGCCCCCAAATGCCCAGCCAACCAGCCCGTGCACAACACACAGGGGTGCCATGGGTCTCGTCAGGAGGATGGCATTTTTGCAAATCTCGATCTTGTCGTTGGTTCCCCACCCTTTTCTGGGACACCACTTTCCATGAATGGAGCACCTCCACATTCTGATAGGAGCCTCTCACAAAGCTTCCAGCCACAGTGGATTGCACAATGGAGGCAAAGCTAAGCAGACACACACCACCGACACGCTCACTCAGAAAGCATCACCTCAACTGATGGGCACGGGCCAGGTGTCGACTGGGGTACCTTGAGCCGGAAGTCCTCTGATTGGGCCTGTCATCAGAGAGCTCCTGTCTGATGACGCACTGGCAGGTAGCTTCACGCTTTGGGAGGTGGAAGGACCGTTCTGGACCGCACAAAGCGTACGCAGAGGAAATCAGACCCATCACTTCGCCTCCAGCCTGCCTGCCTCTAACCTCAATATGCTCCGACCTGCTGCCTCCTGCCCGTCCATCGAGTCCGCGTCCCCGTCCGCCCTCTGGATGCGGCAAGACGCGGGTTTCAATTGTTCAAAGGCGCAGCCCGGCAAATTCCCGCCCCGTCAGATGATTGTTTCCCGATTCGCCCATCGACACAACAACGCCTGTATGTCATCGAGATCTACGCCTGGCTTCACGATGACTGGATACCCAGCAACATTCAGCAAACACCTGTGATGATTCGCTCAAGTCCACGGACCTTCTGCTCCGGCTCACGGCGGCTGAACCTCCCCATAAACATATGGGGATTCTTCCGTTGCGTCTCATGTGATGCCCAGAGGCCCAGCTTTGCCCCCAGATGGACGAATACGACGCGAGGAAACGGACGATGCATTTCCAAACACAGCAAGTCCTCTTCATGTCTGACGGAGATGCTGCTTGGCTGCGTACAGCAGACACCTTGGTGCGATTGTCTCAAGTCGACACCACGTTTGACAAAACGCCTTCATCATAGCATGCGGAACTTTCGCCGGGCCCCGCATGCCCACAGTCCACTTTCGACTTCATTCAGGACTTTCGCCGACACAGTAGTCTCGTGCCCCTCGCGACGTTTGCCTCCTCCAAGATATCGCTCGTACCGCCTTCATCTAACCGACTCTCCGCCACGCAAAATACGTCACCAACACGACACACAGAAAACCCGTCGACGCCTCTCATCCTCTCGCAGTCGATCTCCCTCGGACCCTGGAAGGGATCTGGATGCAAGCTGCCCCTCATCTGCCCCTCACATAGCATTCCTTTTTGCGAGACACTATGCATATCCCGCATTCCGCATGGACATTCCACACATTAAGGTCCTGTCAATCAGCGGGTCCGGTGTTAGTTCGGTGCGGGAAACTCAGCCTCGGTGTCTCGTCTGACCCCGCCGCTAGAGCTATACCGTCAAGCTTTTGTTGAGCTCCCAAGTGCCTGAGCTTGAGCTTGGGAGCTCTACTGATACCGTTGTTTACAATGCCAGTCACTCAGCCTCCGACACGGCTCCTCAGCCCGAATAAACCGGTCAGCCCATGTTGTCAGGCTGGTCCCGAACATGAGATTGCGGCTGCGTTCCGAGGCTTCGAACAGTCTCTTGAGTACGCCCGCGCCGCGTGCCTCATTGTCAATGCAGGCCTCGGCCCTCCCGAGGCCTCGTGGGCACACGACACTATGCAGTAGATCGACTGATCCGTGCAAAGAAAAAAGAATACGACGGTATCAATAGCTCAGGAGAATTGCGGAACGACGCCTCGATCGCGGGACGCTAAGGCTTGCCTGGCGCGCCCCGCCTGCCAGCTTGCTCCGTGCAGCGATTCCTACCGCCCCTGATGATCGATGCTACGGTTGGGCATCGACCGCATCGGCGGGTAAACCACGGCCGCTGCGGCATCCGGACCTCGTCGGCGTCGAATGGTAACAGTAAGCCACAGTTGGCCGAGTGGCCCGATCTCATCTCACCGCCTCGGTGGCCTTGCAAGCAGATGAGGGGTAGGCATTGCTTCGGCAACGATATTTCTTTTTCTGAGCAAGTTACACAGAGATCGTTTGAGACACCATCAGCACCAAGAGCTAAAGTGAGGCTCCAAACGAGGGGTAAAAGAGGCCCCCTGCAGCTGTGGTCTCAGGGACATGAAGCCATCATTGGCTCCATCAGGTGTTAAGCTTGACAAGACACCTTGGCAGACAGCCTCGATCTCAAAACCACAGCACGATCTTGACCAACAGTGTGAATGGAGATTAACATTCAGGATTTCCGTCTACTACCACTGGAATTAGGACTACTGGAGACATGCGCTTCGCAAGAATGCGACGTTGGAGAAACCGCATGCAGGAATACGGCGTTCTGAATCACATATCATGCAGATGGACCTTCGTCGGCGGGGTCAATAGACGGGTGATCTCCGCATGCACGTCTCTCAATGCCTGCAAGACATGCAAGTCTTCTGCGTGCATGGCAGCATTTGCCGTAAAGGGTTTCCAGGGCCACTCGTCGCTCTTGCACTTGTCCCAGCCCGATAGGGTGCCGTCGGCGGCCACGGCGGGATGCGGCGGTACGACACCCTTTTGCAGGTAATCGCGTATCTTTGTCACGGCGCAGACAGAAACCGAGGCCAAAGTGCAATGGCCCTCGGTTTGGAGCTCAAAAACCCCGGCGTTGACAAAGTTTTGGGACATGTCGACTGCAGAGCCGAGGGGGGTTACCGGGTCGTGGGTGTTGCCCACGAAGAGGATGGGGAACGAGGTGTTCACGGGGTCCGGACTATGCAAGTTTGCGTCCCAGTCTGGGCTTGGGAACCTGGCCTCAATGTCCCAGCCCTCGCAGGACATCATGATGGACATGAGCTGCCACACAGTCAGTATCATGGCCCCATGAGAAAGAGAGAAGTGGACCTACGACGCCGGCGAAGGATGTGTACTCTGAGGTCCTCTTGAACACGCCTTCCAAGGTATCGTTTCGCTGGACGAGAAACAGTCCCATCAGCACCTTGAATTCTTGATTCTGTCATAGCCGCACTGGTACTCACCTTAACCCGTTGGTCACTGCAACTAATGGCAGCTTGGGCCTCGCTCACATCAAGGGCAGGCGGCATCTGGAACTCTGGACTGCACATGGGTATCAAGTCTCCAGCGTTGACGTAGTTGGAGAGGTCGACCTCGATGTATACACGATTGAGTAGGTCGGCAATGAGGGGGAAGAGCATCATCGGTGCATACAAGGCCTGGAAGATGGTCTTCTTAATGTCGGACTCCATGAGAATGACGGGAATAGTAGTGTAGGAGGGGATGACAGTGACCGGATCGGCCCGCAGCTTTGCCATGACTTCGTCGTATCGTGTCTTGATGTCGTCTGCCGTGTCACCCTTGCGGAAGAAGTAACACCTCTCTCCGGCGAGATGGCAGTAGTAAAAAAACTTGTCCACAATGGCGTCCGAGTCTCTCATGGTCGACACCCACCATGTCTGCCATTGCTCAGTATGTATCACAGCCAGACATAGGACCTCTTAGACTTACAGGCTCGTCGTAAACGCGGGTGTCCACAACACCGTCCAGGATGAGTCGGCCTACAGAATCGGCTGTACAGCGAAGCCGTCAGTCACGGCTAGACACAGGTCACAGTAGAGATGCGAGGGTGCGTACGATACATGGCAGCAAAGGTCTGCCCGATGAAGGTGCCGTAGCTGAAGCCCCAGTATACAAGCTTCCGCTTCGTAGAAGGCGGCGCAGCCTCACTCGGCGACCGCAACCTAGCCCCATGAGAAACAGTCTCGAAGCCATTCTCGTCAAGCCAGTCGTCATGAGCTTCCACGATGCTCTTGATATCAGCCGCCACGTTTGGCGTGCCCATGTACCTGAAAGCGCTGTCCTCGCCGTCCTTCCTCGAACACAGCTTCGACACTGCCCTGGCGCGGTGGGCGAGGGCATCCAAGGCTTCGTTGGTTCCGTTCGGCAAACCCACATCGTGGGCGGAGAGCATCCAAGTCATCCTGCGCATCTGGGCGAACCTTTTGGCCATCGCCGAGGTGTTGTCGCCCTCAATGAAGCAGTCCCCTCGAGGAACGGTGGCGCCGATGCCCCTGGGGTCAAAACCAAGAAGGTCAATGTCGCCGCCGGCAATGGCTTGGATAGTGGGGCCACGGGGCGGGTACACGAATGCCGTGCCGACACCGCCGGGCCCGCCCGGATTCAGGACAAGCGGGGATTCGGAGAAGCGGCCGGTGTCGATACCGTGGCCGGGCGCCGGGAGGAGAACCATTGCCACGTGGACCTTGGGGTTGTCCGAGGACTGATTCAAGGGCCGCTGATAGTCCATCGGCACAGTCAGACGGGCGCATAGGTATCTGTCGCCTGTCATGCCCGGCAGGACGCAACGCACCCAGTGCAGCTTCTCACTCGTTGGGACGTCATCCCAGTCAGTGTAGACGGGGAAGGGCTGCGGATTGGAGTGGAGGACGGCATTGCGATCAAAGAATACCTCGTGTAGCTTCCATGACCAGATGACGAAGAGGAGAATGCCGAAGACGAGGGGCCTCCTCCATTGCTGCCGTGGCGATGGATGAGCCGGGTGAAGTGGGAGGTTTGAGTCAGCGAAACTTTTCGCCGACATGACCGTGATGTACGGAGGTGGCGACGATCTTTTGGAGCAAGAGTCAAGACTCGACGACGCTTGGCGCGGCACGAAAGTGACAGAGAGAATTGCCGACGGACGATGAGTCTGTCGTCGATGTTGAGCGATGAGTTGATGTTAGAAACACGAAGACGGATGCCTGGTCCTTCCACCCAGACTTCTGGAGGTGAGGAGGCGGCTCTTGCTGCACCAACGCGGCATGACTGATTGGCGCTGGCCAATGAGAACTGTGATCTGGCGGTTCTTGGCGGCTGATGCGATTCTTGGAGTGTGCCTCGACGAGTAATTGAGATGCATAGAGTAGTGAGACCAGACGTATTTGCATCTGTTCTCTTGTCTGAAATTGCTCACGCGATATGTACGGCAGCCTCGGTGTGCATTGGTGATGTGCCTCAAATGCAAATGCAGGTATGAGGGGCGTTTTGCGGTCATCGGAAGACGGGCTGAAGTCCGGATGCCAGGGGACGGACGTTTGGGGAGACTGTTGCGGCGCCAAGACTGCCTAGTGTCGAGACTGATGGTTTGTTGGAATATTCCATCGGCGTTATTGCAGCGCTAGTGGTCGCAGACTTGCATACTTGCATGCAGGCAGATGACAGCTCTGTTGGTTGGAAACACACGATCAAGACGAGTCAGGAAGCGATTATTGAGGGGGGCGGCAAAAGGTCCAGGACTCCCAGCCCGCGATGCCCTCACTGTCAGTCTCGACTCCATTCGGACACCGGCTGGATTGCAGGGCGCGTCTGAGGAATAGCCTTGGCGTGTGCGATAAGCGATGAGCAAGTGCCAGGGAGTAGTCCCGCGATGTTTCCATGTTTTGGGTGCGTTTGGGGACGGAGCCCACAGCGCCTGGCTCCTGATCACCACCACTTCAGCCCAGCCACCTCCAGTCTCCAGCCTGTTTAGTCCAGCTGGCCATGTCCATTTGTGCCCAGGAAATAGAAACAAAAATAAGAGACGCCGGTGGTGGTTAACAAACGGCGGATGTATCCATCTTGGTCAAACTCTGTGCTGCAGGACAGTCCCTGGGCCGATGATGCCTGGTGATCCTTAGTAAGTCGGCGGGAAGCCTCCTTTTTTTAGAAGCTGCTCTCAGAATTCCGCAACTGCGTCCGAATAATTGGGCTGCCGAGGCACAAGGCTCGAGGCAAACCAAAGGGAGATACCGAGAAACTGCATGAATGGAAGGAGGCGCCGAAGAGAGAGCAGAGACCCGTTCGTCGAACGGTTCAACGTATTGGCGCTGGAGGTTCGTGAACGTCTCAGATCACCCGCGAGAGTTATTTTGGGAACTGAGCGAGAATATGCGACGAAAAGTTGAAGAGAATACGCGGCCTGGTGTTGTTGCTGGTCTCGACTTTGGCACTTGTGCCATAGACATGAAAGTCAAAGCAATAGCGACCGATCAGCCAACAATATGACATGTTCCTGCCATTGTCACCTTGAAGTTGTATTCTGATGCCGCCGTGCCGGCTTGGCTTGGCCTGAACAGCGCCGCAAAGAGTCGCATTTTTGGTGCGTTGCGTTGACGGGGCGAGCGATGTGGGCTTGTGGGCTTGGATGACAGAAGCTTGAGTGAGCAATGATTGTGCGCGTCCGTCTGAAGGGGCGAGGCCTTGCGCAATCGCAGCGGATGGAGCGTGAGCAATATCGGCAAACGAGCAGAATTGCAACCCTTGGAGGCGACCGCCGCTCTGGTTCAGTGGTTCTCGTCCGTGTGACAGTCCAATGGGCCTGGGGTCCAAGACAAAACGGCGCGCAGTTCGTTCTCGGCCGCCCACCATTGTCGGGTGTACCGCGTTGGGTTGTGAATGGTGTTGGGTGGGCGGTAAGTGGCACAGGGAACTGGTACTGTAGCCCCCGTCACAGCGTCTTCGATCGTCTCTAGCGAGACCCATTCCCTTTCTTCCATCCCCGGCCGGCAGTTCTAAACGGCAACATTTGTCGACGGCGGTTGTTGCAGGTGAGGTTGTGCGTGCATGGGGCCTCCAACACGACGGTCAGGGGTTTGGTAGTGAGTGCAACTCTGGGCCAAGCCGCCTCGAGCCAAGAATTGGAAAGCAAGGTGGTAAAAGTAAGCTTGTGGTTGATTAAGTCTCGAAACAAATAATCCGACGAAGTTTTGGACGTTGTTATTTCGGCCCCCAGAACTGAGTGGTTGAATGACAAGAGGTTAACGCAGCCAAGAGCGCCGATGGATGGTCTTGGTAAAATCTTGTTCAGCAGGTTAAAGTGGCCGGGGCGGTCAGGGCCCAATAGGCGAGGGAAACAGCTTCCCCAGACGGAGGAATTGCAACGCAAGGCAGGCAGGCAAATGGGGCCGGCCGCTGGGGAAATCGCCTGCAATTGCCCGCTGCTACGAATTATCTGTGCAGCGACACTACGGGCTGATTGATTGGCAGCCCAGGCCAATTGACAATGGCTTCCAAGACTCACCACTGTCACCAAGCACGCGACTAAGCTTCACCAAGACTCTCCAAGACCGTCCATCCCGCCGTCTGTTCCGGACGAAGCTTTTCCTACGACGCCGCGGCAAGCCCACTTGCACACCACTAAACCACATGGCGCACATCAGCGACATGACAGTCGATCACAGACGGCGCCCTAGACATGTCGTCAACCACTTTGCCTTTCGGCTCGCCAACCTAATTCAGGCCAACTCTAGCCGCGTCGAATCAAGTCATGGAAAGCACGAAATGCCGCAAATCGAGATGGTGTCGCGGGAGGGAGCTACGTGATTGCCCAACTTCCAAGTTGCGTTAGCCGACAGGTCAAACAAGTCAGGCACAGAAGCAGGTACCGACAGAGTTGCAGCGGGAAGACATCACCGACTGCGGCAGCTTGCAACTCAATTCGCTGGTTCCTGATCCTGCACTACACCGCAGGTGTCCAATGCCAAGAGCCTCAGAACCAGCATGGAATAGCTAAAGTGGTTTAGAGCCTTCCACTGCAGCCCCGACACGATGCTCCCTTGACGCTACAGTACACACACCTGCCTCACCCTTCTTGCCCCTGGATGCGAGCTTGTTGTGGCTGCAAATTTTTCTCTCTCCTGAATCTTGGATCACAAGAGTGTCCAAACGCATCAAAGGCCACTCCTGGCCACGGCATCTGCAGTCGACACACCCCGATTCGACCATCCTCCCATTGAGTTCGACAGACTTCAGGCTGGTCCCTGGCATCTCCAAGAATCATGGCCAGAAGAATAAACCAGACGTGTCAGGCACGTGCATCGTGCAGTTCGCCTCCCGTCAGGCAGATCATGTCCTGCAGCATCTAATGCATTGAGGGACTCTACGAACACGTCGTATCACGGGGACAAAAGCCAATTCGAGCCTTCAGGGCCGTGGGACGGGACCGCAAAACAGACTTATTGCTGTTTAGCATCACCGAGGGGCTGGAGCCTGGCTGCGGCTGCTTTGGTCTGAAGTGGACGGCTGGTGCTGCTAAAATTGGCTACTGGACGAGGCCCCGAGCAGCAGTCAGCGGAATGCTACGCAGTACAACGGCGACTATCACGCAGTTCCGAGGTCTCAGACACCGGCGGAAGTGTGGGAGGTTGTCGCACCAAAAAGAATCTGCACCCGCACCGCACCACAGCTTTTTACTCAGCAGAGGCTAGCTTCTGCTGCCTCTACACAGACTACCGTCGAACTTGTCCGGCCTCTCTGCATTACCATCCCAGCCCTTTTCGGCCCAAGGCAGTGTTACACACAATGGGATTGGATGTTGGACCCTTACCTACCCTACATCGACCGTCCCACGGGGTTCTCGAGTCTCCTCCTGACACTTGACAATTGGCAAACCATCGGGGCACGGCTTTCATGCGTTTGCCCACCCGTTGTCCAGTAGCCGCCTTTCCAGCTACCGCGACCCAGAATTCGGGAAACATTCGAGAGGGACGCCATCCCGGCACCGGGCGAAAGCGTGTAAGCCACGACTCGCCGCCGCCTAGAGAAACGATTCATTCGGTTGAGCCCGCTGCCGTTGTTTACTGGCCTTGCCGTTGCCGTTGCCCGTGTGTATGCACTTACTTTCAGCCGCCTCACCTTTGCTTGAATCGATCTCTTCCCGCGGCCCTAGGAATTGCACCTCCGGCAATGGGTGATTGCCCTTGGCGGGCTTGGTGCTCCATTCGCCGCAGCATCCGACGACGTCAATACTGGGGCCAGATCTCTTGTATTGCTTGGCTCTTGGCTTGAATGCCTTCGTTGCACCCCTCGCCAGAAGACGACACCGGCCGCACGGCGTCCCGCCAAGTGCCAAGAGGCGAATCCGCCCCCTTGGCGCCCAATATATGCAAGTCCACGACGCTCATGGGCCTTCCTCCAGAGTGTCGAGTCGGATCTTCACTGCGCGTCCTACGGGGGGGCCTGCCCCTGTCCCTGGTCCCGACCACATCAGAGCGTGGATCTCTGGGCCAAAATTGGCATCCTACCTAACATCTCTCGGCCATCGCATAGAGACGCGGCGACGATGCCAAGACCCTCTAGTCAGGTCTCTCCCTCAAGCATGGTCTCGAATCGCCCTCACATCTGACCCTCTTCTACAGGCACAGTCCAGATGGATATCCCGACCTCAGATGCCCAATTGGCCCGCAGCATGCCTCTGGTGTCACCTGCGTTTCATGCCTCGACTGCTTCGCTTGCTGCTTGGGCCTCACAACGAGCATCTCGACAGTCCCGCTGCTCCAACGAAGCCGTCGACAAGTCCTCCATCCCTTGGCACTGCTCGGAGCTTTCCAGCTGGGCAATCCCACCAAGCCGACGACGACGGCAACCCCTGCGCCTCCGTACCGACTCGATCAACGAAAGTCGTACCCCGGAAAGTAGCCCCGTCTGCTAATGTCTGAGGGCCCACGACCGACTTGAGGCTTTCGACGGTACTCTATCTCTTGGCATCTTGGCAGTAGTGTCTCAAGCATGTGGCCGGTCTGCACGTCTCAACCCGTCAAGCTTGGCTCGTGGGGAAATATATGAAGTCTAAATCTCTTGCCTCTCTTACACGATTTCTTCTACTTCTTCTTTAGCTGCGCTCGACTGGTATCCTCTGTCTTCTCGGTTCTCTTCTTTCCTTTTCAAGGTCCAAAAGCTTTATTCTCTTCTCTTCCGCTGGTCGTGTCTCTTTTTTTATACGCCTATTACTTAGTTTCAACCCCCCCCCCCCCCCCCCTTTCCCACGGACGATCATCACTCCTTCCCCAGAGCCGCTCAATCCGAATCACACTCAAGAGATACCGATTACCCGATCTACTCGACAAAATGGTTAACCGTTACGTCTTTGCTGTTGCCGGCCTTGCCGCCCAGCTGAACGCTTTGCCCTTGAACATCAACTTGGGCGCTTATTCTCCTGCCTTGGTGGTGGGTGATGGTGAAATTTCATTCGGCGGTAGAAACGATGTCTCCCAGTTGATGAACGTGCTGGAGGGCGCGGCAGTTAATGCTGCTCAAGGTGTTGCGAACGCTCCCGCCGCCGCTCCCGCTGCTCCCGCCACCAACGCTCCCGCACAGCAGCAGCCCAAGCCCGCAGCACCCGCTGCTCCTGCTGCTGCTTCCGTTGGTGGTGCGACCCCCGTTACTGCTACTTCAGAGAGCAACAGCATCGACGAGGTTAGTACTACTCACTAGAGTTTTTGGTTGTGGTGTCTGTGTGTGCGGGATACACACAGACGTCTGTACCTCATCGGACCAATATCAGCTAATATATGCGCCCAATCACAGGCTCAGGCCATCGCCGCCCTTCAGGGCATGGGCAAGGAGATCGCTCCCCGTGTCTCGCTCACCAAGGCCCGCGCCCCGGCTCAGCAGAAGCGAGACCTCGCCGGCTTCGACCGCGCCCTCAAGTTCGCCGAGGCCGCCCTTGTTAAGGGACCCAAGATCCAGCTCGGCACCGGCGAGGGTGGCTCTGGTGTTGGTATGATCGTCGACAACAACCAGCAGGCCGCCGCTCGTCCCGGTAAGGGTGGAGCTGAGGGCGGTGCCGCTGCTGGCGGTGCTGCTGGCGGAGCTGCCGGTGGTGCCGCCGGTGAGGCTGCCGCTCCCGCTGCTGCCCCTGTCATTGTTGCCCAGCAGAAGGTCAAGGCTCGCGCTGAGGAACCCCAGCAGCCTCCCCGTCGCCGCGCCAAGGTCACCACTATGTATGTCCGCTCCGGCGTTCCTGCTGGTAAGTGCAATTCGACTACGAGACAGCAAGAGACTGGAAACTAATGATATTTGCAGGCGTCGAAATGACCCCTGAGAAGCTCGTCGCTCGTGACCCCATGCCCGCCGGTACCCCCGTTGCCCGCCAGGTTATGTCCGCCAACAACGAGATTGTCAAGCGCGCCGAGGAGGAGCTGTCTAAGCGTGGCTCAGGCGGCGCTATCGACACCGTCAACTTGAACGTCAGCGGCGAGGGTGTCACCATGACTTTCGTCGAGAGCGAGGCTGAGGATGAGCAGCAGTAAATGTACTCTGTGTGGAATCATACCCCCTGAAAAAAATGTGTGGACGAAAGATAACAAAAAATTGAAAAAAGAGAGTCCACCCCACACACGATGCCTCTCTTCAACCAACGATTCCCTCCCCGGCCTCAGCCCTAATCCCTCATGTGTCGAGACCTCCCTCGCTGAGTGACGGGTCAATCTTTTTCTTTTCTTGTTTTAACTGTCATGATATCAAATGTCCTTTGGGAACCGGGTGGTGGACTGTGTATGGGCTGTACGGGTGGTTGAAATTATTAGACAAATTCCCTAAGCATGCGGCGTATATCAAAACATTTTACCCTTTTTTTTTTGAATTTTGTTGTCCCTGCATGGAGTTGAGAGAGTGCACCAAAGTTTGCGAAGTAAAATACCTCCCACTTGTTCGCCTGCCACAGCAAAAGCCTAGCCAGTCACAGCAATCAATATTAGCAACTTCGTATTTGCGATATTATTTGCGATATCTGTCAACATTGCAAGCGATTCAAGACAGATCATTTATTCATGCATTGCATTCACGATCGAACTCTGTACAGGAGCCATGACTAGGCGGTTTCGTCCAAAGCGACAATTCAACCGGTTTATACATTCGCGTGGTTGTTTTCCTTATGTCTGCATGAAAATGGGCTCCGGGCCGTGGATTAAACCCTCTAGGAAAATTGAGACTGACAGAAAAATACAGAAGAGAAAGGAACAAGTGGAATCAGTAAACCAAAAGGACAGAAAAACCCTCAGAAACCAAAATTTTTGCGATGGGCGTATGATGATCGGTTCCGAGTCGTCGTGTAGACCAAGATGCATGATCGAGACGGCTATTTTTTGTACAACCAAAACATCGGACCGTCCTCTGCCTTTTCCCCTTCGGACGTCGCAGCATCGTCACATACCCCTAGAGCCTCAATCCTGTTTGGCTTGTCACGGGCGGCCAGGGTGTAGGGGGCAGGGGGCAGGGGATGGTTAAGGATTGGGGAGGGGGGATGACCCCCGCGCCGGTTCAGGGGTGTTGACGCTGTCGGCCAATGGGAGAAATGGTGCGTTTCTACCTGCATGGTTGGAGACAGCGCTGGGGAGATCCTGGTTCTTCGGGAGTGTGGGAGGGAGGGGAGCAAGACAGAGCGTTTACAACCACCGAGCGGAAGCGGGAAATGGATGCGTCTTAGGAGTCTCTCTTTCGTTGCTGGCGGGTTGTCCTTGTTTGCGGTAGGGCTCCTCTCGTTGCTGGGTGTTTGAGCCTGTCGGGTTCCCATCTGGTTGTCTTCTTGCGTCGTGGACAACTGCTGTTGTATCTGGGCCGTTGAATCAGGTGGGTGGTCAGCCCTGCTTTGACGGCGGTGGTTCCCAAGGAGGAGAGAAGGAAGACAGGGAGGGCCCGTTTTCGAGTCCGCGGGTTGCGTGACTGCTGAGAGTATCCTCCCCCACCGGGATACTACTCTGCTACTGCTCTGCGTTTCTTATCGACTGCTTTGGAGGTGACGATCACGATTCTTCATAGAGTCGGCGGTTATCCCCATGTGTTCTTGTGGAACGATAGTGTGTGCGATGGTTGCGAAGATGCCATGGAGTCTTGAATCTCGCCCGGATACGATTCCGAGATGCTTCATCAGGCCAGACTGCCAAGACCTGCTGCATGTCTTGATTTGTCGCCCGCGATTTCACCTTGCTCAACTGCTCGAGAGGAAGAGACAGAGATGCTTCTCCCGCGAGCTAGGTTAGCTTGCCAGTGCACACACATGGACGCCAAGAGTTCCGTGGCCGTGTTGCTGAGCGCTGAGAAGGTTCGTCGTCGGGGTTCCTGAGAGAGGAGCTTGGCGTTTAGACACCACGCAACTTGCCAGGCTGAAGAGGGTGTGCGAGAAGGGGGGCTTTCTGCCTGGCTGCCACGCGGCACTGGGGGGATGATTTGAAATGTGTCAAGCGTCTAATTGCCTTGTGTAGACGCGTGACCACGTTGGAAGATCACCATGTTTTGACAGAAACGACACACAGACAAGCGTTCGGGAGGCCGTCTTCCCGAACCCTTGTTTACTTTTTTGACTCGGTGCGTCGTGGAACTCTTTTTTTCTTCCTTTGATTTTTCCTCAGGTCTTCTTCGCAGCAAAGTAAGCGAAGCTGCGCAGTTGGATTACGAGACTACCTATCCCATTCCTTGTAAGCCTTCTGCTTCTGCCGCGTGTTCCATCCCAACTTCCCGCTGATGCTGTTCACCCAGTCCTCGCTGCGGCGGCCTTGGGCCTGGACGCTCGCAAAGGGGTACCGACTGGCGCTTATCGTGACATAGTCGCCGGGGTATAGTTCCATGCGCTCGCGGCCGTCAAAGCTGGCCCACGAGTTGGTTCTTGCATCGTATGGGACGCCCACTCGCAGCACAATCGTGTCTGGAAGTATAATGGGGCGGAAAGAGAGTGTATGGGGGCAGATTGACGTTACGAGCATGACGGGGTTCTCCGGGTGGCAGAGAGAGCCGCCGGCCGCCAGGTTGTAGGCGGTCGAACCGGTTGGGGTCGAAACGCAGATGCCATCTGCCAAGACGGAAGTGAAGTGTTCGTCGTCACCGAAGATTTCAGTGTATGACATTGCTATTGTGGTATATTGTCAGCGAACCAGGTTCGAGTGGCAAGAAAGGGGCCCCCGGTAAGACTTACTTGGGTTTGGGCCGCGATCCACCACGATTTCATTCAATATCTCAAATGTTCCGTCTGGGACGTGAGTATGCTCATCTTCCCTCTCCTCACCAATGAGCTCCTCAACGAGATCGAGGTTGCGAAAGTCCTCCTCTTGACTGGAGCTCTCCTCGCCGTCGGCAAGCTGCAATTGCTTTCGTCTCTGGCTTCGCATGATGGTCCCCTCAAACCGTAGGCGTAGACTGACCGTGACGCCTTTGTTGAAAGCATTGGTCAGAATCGACTTGTGATCTTCAAAGTCGAACTTGGTGAGGAACCCGAGACTGCCGAGTGAGAAGCTGAGCACTGGGGGGACGATGCGCTGGAAGAGCCAGCTGACGTAGAGGACAGTGCCATCGCCTCCTAGGGTGATGACGAAGTCGAACATGTGCGGCCTGTTCCGGCACATGTCCTCGTTCCAGTATCTCAGTCTTTTCGACAGGACTTCATCGCTGTCATCAACTTTCATTCGTCCAGCCTCAACGTGCTCTTTCTTCAGCTCCTCGACAAGCCCCGGAGCGTTGAATTTCTTGCTCTCCTTGAAGTTTTCTCCCACGTATACCGTATAGTCAACGTCTCGATCATGAGACAGCAGCCACTTGACCAGCTCCCTGGTGCGAATGATCAAGTCCGGGTCGTGAATCTTGGTCAAGACAAAGATGGTCTTGACACGGAATCTGATGCGCATGCTGCTCAATCTCCGGCTTAGCTCGCGCACCCCCCATGCCATCTCACTGAGCTGCTTCTTGGTCAGAAGCCGGCTGTGGAGCTCATCGTCGTTGTCAGACTGCGCCAGGTCTATTTGAGAGGGCGATTTGATGATTTCGGTGCGCCAGGATTTCTCGTCAATCTGGCCTACGTCACTGCCCTCCGGGCTGTCAGAGGCAAGAATTGCGGCTCTATGCTTCGCAACTCGGCCCTTGGGTTCGACCGTTTTGGACATGCCCGTTTCGCCGGATACGTCCTTGGCGCCTGCCTGCCGATGAGGATTTTCATAGACTGGATGGCCGTGATGGAAATGGTGTTCAGAGCCGGATTTGGTGGTGCTGGATACTGAGTTGGATCTTGAGCCGTGATTGCTTGCAGATGCGTGCGCATCGCGAGCTTTCCTCTGGCTCTCGAGAAACTGATGCACGATGCACTCAGTTCTCTTGCTTGGATGACGCGGCAACGGGCGAGAGACCTCAGAAGTGACCAGAGAGCTCTTGCGGCGATACGGATTTCCCGGATCAAAGGTGACCTGGACATAATCGCCGAATCAGTACCCCTCTTAGACGGATGTTTCACATGGACGTACCTCTACTGCTCTTTGGTAATCGTCGTCGCTTCCACTCGAATGAGCATCGTCATCCTTCTCAAAGCCGACACGCTTCTCAGCCTTCTCTTCCATGTCATTGCCTGCTCCCATCTTGTATAGGAGCGCCGCTGATGAATGAAGTGCTGCAAAGTCGGAAGAGCCGCGAGGCGCGGGGTAGTTCAGTCGCGTTTAGGGGTCCGCGAACGCCGTGGATGCCAGGTTGGAAATCCCCAAAGGTGACAAAAGGCTGATTAAAAATCGGTGTATGCCAGATTGAGGTAAAGGCAGGTCCAAGGTTTATGTGAGTTCACTGAGGCGATTGCATCCTCAGCCAGGCAGGCTATCGTCGCGACAGGGCTTATTGCTGCGGCTTTCGTAATCAGAGGCCCTGAGGTAAGGTGGCGGCGTAGAGGAATCCGATGCGCGAAGGACGGTAACCAGGATTTCCAGGCTATGGAAATGCCGCGGTGAAGGCAAGAGAGTTTGAGTGGTTGTGACTTGGAGGATAAGCTAGCGGGTTGGCGAAGTCGTCAGCTGGGAAGCGGGAAGTTGAACTTTGTGCCCGGGCAGCTTCAGCTTCTTGAATGACACGGCGGGGCCTTCTTGTTAGTGAATTGATGATTGCGGCATTTGGGTGCTTATTCACTGGATACGCCTGGGCAACTTATGTACCGATTAGGTAGGTTGGCTGAGGTGGGTGGGCCGGGCAGGCTGCCCACTCGACACCGGCCGCCGAAGGGTTGGTTCACTGTTAGTGGTCAGTGGTCCATTCACCGGGCGTGGCTTGCCCTGCACTGACGTCTGCAGCTGCGCTGTTCGCCAGCGGCCAGCTGCAAGTGCATGTGGAGCGCAACTCGGGACAATGGATGCAACTCAATGCAGGACGGACTCATTCACCGAAGGGCCACAGAACCTTCCATCCGCGGGTGTGGGCCTTCGGTTCCCAAGGTACCTAAGGTATGGAAGACAATGGCATCTTCGCGCCGCTCTGTCTCTTTAGGCAATAGGAGCTGAACCTACCTCAGAGCATGTAGGGACGCACCTCGTGGCTTGTGATGAGCAGCCCAGGCAAGAAGGCCGCCCCGCGTTGGTTGCATTGGCTCGGCGGATGTCCGCATGACGCGAAATATCTTGTCCAAAGCTCACTATCTGGTCCTTAACACGAGCTAATCGTTGGATCGGCGCAAGCCAACATCGGGTGATGCTCTTGCGCAGTTCCAAACATGAGATGATCACTCCACGATCTCGAGCAGTGTAACTTAGATTTCGAGCCGCACAATTCCCTTTTAGCCATTGCGGTATGGCAGGAAGGCAGGAAGGCAGGAAAAGCCTATCCCTACTGCCCATCTCTAGTCGCATTATGCCCAAGGTGATTTGAAGGAAGGAACAACCGCTGACTTCAAATGCACCCGCAAAACGCCAGCCACCTCTGAAATCTTGGTGTACCTTAGATGTAGGTAGATAGCACGAGAGAGGGGTTGAACTGATGACCTAAAGTCCCCTCGATAACAGCCCAGATAAGACATGCGCGTGGCCCAAGCTTCTCCGTTCTAGGGGACTCACAGCGCTGTTGATCCACGATGAAAGGCTGACGGGGACCCAATTGCTGTTCCAGCCACACACACCCCGCCAAACCACCTCAGGGATTTGCGCCACAGCCAATCACAAGCTGCAGCGCAAACTGCATCCCGCTCGAGGCTGCTTCTTTACCACGTCGCTGTCGACCTCCTTTCCAAGCTCAACCATGAGCTCCCACCCTTTTACGCGATCAACTACGTTCCCGACGCGTTGTGGCCAAATGTTGATCGATTAACAACCACCGCCACCCAGCTCCATCCACATCATAGCTCTTCATCTTTAGTATTCCAGCTAGAGCATGATATACCTCTCGAAATAGTTTCGCTCCCGTCAGGATGAACTCACTCTGGTCCTCGCGCGGGGCCGCCAACGACGGCGCCGGCCCCGCGAAGCAGCCCCCTCCGCCTCCGAATCCGACTGGCGATGTTGCAGATGCTGTTGTTGCAGATGTTGGCCCAATCGCCGAGTCGGCGAATCCACCTCCTCCACCGCCCTCCAGGCCAATGTTGCAGAGAAACTCGTCTGCGCCTACGCCTGCCCCCGTGCCCGCCCCGGTTCCTCCTGCACCGATGCCTCCTGCGCCCGCCGATCAACCCCAACCCACCGACTCGCTCTCTCTGCTGCAGCTGAGACGCATAGTAGCCGAGTTCAGCCGGGGCGAACCTGTCGCCTATGACTTCGTCTACAGCGACATGGGATCCCACGACGAGGAAATTGACGAGTGGTTCGTCTATCAATTTTGGCAATGGGTGCGCCTTAACGCCGCGCAGCGTGCGTTCGAATGGCAGTGGCAGCACGAGTACGATATTCAGACAAGTTGGGAGGAGACGGACTACGAAACGAGGGCAAAGTTTACCCGGGATGCCCTCGGGGGTCTCCAGGTTAGGGAACCCGCCCAACGATCAGCATCAATTGGAAAGCTTCTATATTTGGTGCTGGGAAGATGGGGCGATACTTCAACGCCTGCTACAGTAGGCGATGGGAGGTCTGCTGCGAGCTCACCCCAACTCGAGGCCATTAGATCGAGCATAACTTTCCTCACATCTCTAAACGGCATTGCTACCGTTTGGGAGGCAGTTCAAAACTGCTTTGACGTCTTTTGGTATGCCCAAATAACCCATTCTCCCGACATTTACCTAACCTCGCTAGGTCCGATGACCCACGATTGGTTCAGCCTGGGGGTGCCCAAGAAGCTCAGGACGAGCTCATCAACCTGATGACCATCATGTATGTCATTATTCAGGAAGCTCTGAGCTTTCCTAAGGAGCTGGAATCCACCAGGGCCAACCTTCGTAAGCATATCTCACCAGGCCTGGCCATATCTTATAGCTAACCCTTGGAAGTCTCCCTGAAGCCAGGACTAGTCGATTTCATGTCTATAGCAACATCCAAGCTTCGTTGGGACGACCAAAATATGATGCCCTCCAGTCAGGTATGGACGCCCCCCTCCTCCCACCCCACTGAGGCATGGTTCTAATTTTCCTAGATTTTCTTGCTCTACTGGAAGTCCATTCTCTTGGTCTTGGGTGGCACCCGGGAGATCGATGAGGCCAAAAAGGCGACGACCGAATCCCCCAACGCAAAGTCCAAGGACATTATCACCGCATCGCCCCTCGACTACCATGTGTTTCGACAGGAGCTGACGTCCAAGTATCCCGCCTACGTCCCACCACGGACGCTCATTCCCCTGGAACCGGAGAACACAACCTTACTCCCGCCTCTGCCAAATCAGCCCACGAGGACAAGCGCATCCACTGGGATTGTACCCGGATCTACGAATACACAAAGCAGCGGCGCCTCCATTCTGCATCAACCCGTACACATCGCGACACCTGCGCCCTCGCCGCCGCCATCACCTGGTGTCGGAGGTAAAGGCGGTAAGAAGCAAAATTATCAGACGAACCAGAACTTCCCGTTCATGTACCCGCCTCTGGATGCCACAAGCAACAGTGCTGGTGGCAAAGGTGGCGCTGGTCTGCAAGAACAACTCGTGGGGCGTAAGTGGGAGGGCAGCGATATTCCCGCCTCGATTCTAGAAGCTGGCGAGCTGTTCTCCAAGCGAGTTCGCATGACGCGTGCCACACGACAGCTCTGGGAAGAGCGCGAGAGCTTCCTCAAGTTTGAACGAGGGTGGGAAGCAGATGACAATGACAGCGACGTTGAGGATCTCGACCTCGAGGGCTTGACTCTCGAAGAGAAGCAAGAGATCGCTGCGATGAAGGCAGAGACGAAGGCGGAGGAACGCAGAGAAGCGGGCTTCACGATCCAAGAACCCGAAATCGACTGTGGACCATCAGGACAGGTCAGCGATGAAGTCAAACGACGTCTGCTTGCCGTCGACAGCTTCTATGTGAGTCCGAACCCCTCGTTCTCGTCGCAGTATCACTGACTGCTCTACAGAAAGAATCCCTTCCGCATCTGCAGTCGCTGGTGATTGTACTCCTTAGGCCGATCCTTATGAATGTTACGGCCGTTTTATCACAGCCTGCCGCAGGGCAACAACACCCGAGTATGGCCGGCAGAGGCGCTAATGGCATGGTCAATGGCGGTCCGGGGCCTAACCGGCCACAGCAGCCCCAAGATCCTTCTTCTGCTGCTTCAGGTGGCCCCCCTGAACTTCCTGAGATGTCTCCTGAGGAGGTAGACGCTTCTCGATCTCGGGAGATTACAACAAAGGCCATCACAGGAATCCTGCTCCTGTTGCTGAAATGGCTGAGAGTTTCTCGTAAGCAGTAATTTCAAGGCCTGAGAAGAGAAACTGACCTTTCGTCTAGACGTTCTCAAATTTGAGTACATGACGCAACTTCTGCTGGATTCGAACTACCTCCCGCTGGTCCTGAAACTGTTCGCGCACCAAGACATACAGCAAGTCGTCGATAGTAAGACCGACCGGCTGGAGAATAGGTACGGATGCCTTCACGGATTGATATTATTATGCTAACCATGCAGTTTCTTCCACTTTTGCAACCTGCGCTCGAAGTATAAGGACAAGCCGGCTGCTCAGCCTGAGCCAGAGGAGGAAAGCGAAGACGAGGCGGCCCCGCCGCCTATTAAGAGAAGACGGTCGCCCCCTCGACCGCCTGCGCCTGCACCTCATCAAGGCGACGAGGGTTCCCAATCTGATGGCCAGGCTGCCGTGCGACCCGAAGTGGATGAGCTCGGGTACCCCGTAAATGATCTCCCAGCGGAACCCATCACCGACTTTTCTAGAAGAAACTTCTTCTCTCTCATCAACTATTTGCGAATCATGCAAAAGATTTGCAAGCACAAAGCTCACAGGAACCTTCTTTTGGTACAGTACAAGTCGGCCAACATCCTGCGCAAATCATTAAAGGTTCCCCAACCCGAGCTGCGACTTTACACCTTGAAGCTATTCAAAAACCAAGTGCCATACTGCGGCCGTAAGTGGCGGCAGAGCAACATGCGAGTCATCACCGCAGTCTACCTGCACTGTCGACCAGAGCTACGGGACGAGTGGCTCGCCGGCAGCGACGTCGACGCCGAGGTTGATTCGGCACTTCCGTTGGAGCAGG